TGTACCCTAATCCTTTGTTTATGCAGCACTTAAACTGACTTTTGGGGTCGTCTCTGTCTGGCATTAAAGCCCTAAAGCTTTTTGAAGTTTCCCTGAAGTTAATAAAATTAGTCTGCCCTCATTGGTAGGCCCCTTGCTGCTGCTTCAGAACAGGCTACATATCCCTTACTGTCTTTGTGGCATTTGGCTTTTTAAGTTAATAATATTTTTTAACAAAAAAAGAGAGAAGTAGCAAGATCTCCCAAAAGGCTATTCAGCTAATAGGCAAAGTGATTGCTATAGTAGATGTTCTGAGAACTCGAAGGGGATTAACGTGAAATCCAGTGATTGGAGCTAAATTGCTGGTAAAGTAATTGGAAGTGTTGAGTTTCAGTGGGAGAGAACATGCACTTCTGTAGTTTCTTAAAGGGAAAAGCAAGCTAAAGTGAAGACTTAATTTCTTTTTATTGTTTACAAAAAATATTCAAGTTTAGAAAAAAGACTGCTCCTTTCTCCAAATGCACATATTTTACTGCACAGACCGATCAGCTGTCTTTTCACGCTCTCTCTCAAGGGCATCCTCTTTTAAGTCCGCCTTCTTCAAGGATAAATGGATGGAAGGTTGGTTTCTCGTGATCTCAGTCTAATGGTTAGTGTGACAGACTAAATCGGGGCATTAGGGTTCTATTCCAAACTCTGCCACTTGATCCCAGCTATACCTAAATTGCCATGTTTGTAAAATGAGGATATGACTTCCCTGTTGTGCAGACATGTTGTAGTACTCACTTTTATAAAGTGCTTTTGGGAACAGCTGATGAAAGATTGGCTGTCTGCCAAGTTTTATTGATAACCAGAAGAGTGGCAGTTTTATTACAAAATATTGCTCAGCTCTCTAAAGGGCACACAGATAGAGTCCTTTCCCTACAATGCTTTTGGTCTCACAATCCAAACTTGCAAACTTATCTTTTCTCAAATGCTAGCAAGAAGTCTAGATTTACTTTTAAAGGATAAGTATATTTCATGAAAATTGCCTTTAAGTGAGTGCTGAGCACTGAAAATGGTGAATGATTCTTTCTGGTATACATATATAGGTTATCACTGAGTTCACTCAAACAGAACCTGTACACGGTGCATCTAACACTTGTTCTGAGACCGACATTACTCGGAGTTGCTCTGACAGCCTTGCCAGTGAGGCAAAACTGAACCAAGCTAACATAATGTTCACATGATAATTCAGTTAATTAAATTAAAGATATCTTTGAACCACTCAGCACTATGCAGTCATCAAGTGTTTAAAAGCAGTCTTTCCTTTCTCTTTGAAGGCAACTACAGGTGGTATATGGAGGCCTCCATATCTGGGCATGAGAGAGATTCTCTGTATTCAAAATCCAAGACTGTGAAGCAACTAGAGACCTTAATTATGATCACCAGGGTGGATAAAAATCAATGATTTTTAAATATATATATAACAAATCAGATATTTAAAGCAGATTTTTTTATTTAATCATATTTTTTATTTTTTAAGATGCTTTAAAAAAATAAACCTATATAAAGGTAGTTTTAATTTAAGATATGTTAAAGCTCAAAGGATATCATCATGGAATAGGGATTATAACTTCTAATTATATACTACTTGAGACAATACAGTCATGTAACCTTTTTAGAAAAGTTTTATAAATAGGTCACAACAGGCCATGAGCTGTATTAGGGCCTCAATCTTATGGAGTTCCCAGAGGCTTCTCTATAGATTAGTAGATTAAAGAAAACCACGATACCCAGTGGGATTTAGTGCTCAGTCTAGAAGAGCCCATTAAGCATCTCTGTGATGCTTAGTTTCAGTTCTCAAACTGTAAGTTTGTGTCTCCAGAGATCACATCCTTTTTAACAGCAGTATATGGAGATGAGATAACAGATCTGATTACCTACCCATTAGCCTTATTGTCTCTGCAAGTTTGTGAACACAAAGTCAAGCCTTTACCTCTGTTTAAAGTGCAAAGTTGCAAGAAGTTAAATGTATAGAGGATTGGTGGGGATGGAGTAGATCTGGGCAAGGAGTCGTCTGGAGATAAATGGAAGGAGGGAGGGGCAGTAGAAACAAAAGAGAAACATTTTGAGCAGAATATTCCAGAAGTCTTGAGGGATACATTTCTGAGTATAGCCTCTCCATTGATTTGAAATCTAGTGAGGGAATGAAATTGTAGAAGGGAAAATCTATCATGGCAGCAGGTTTGCAAGCCGTAAGAGAGATCAAAGATGAGAAGAAATATAGAAGAAAGTGAAAAAGCCCCAAGCTAATAACATATGGTTGCAACATTCATTTGATGTCCTCCTAATACAACGTGGCAAAAATAGCCCCCAAATATTTATGATTAATCTACTGAATTGGAGGTAGTTTACCTCCCAATGACTTCACAATTATCTGCTTCAATTAGCTTTGGTAAATAAAATAACCAAATCATAATTCGATTTTCTGATATAGCTGCAAAATTAACCTGAGAAAATATCAAAATAAATCACTCCTTTAAAATGTATAGTGTGTAACTTCTAAAAATGAAACCTACATCTATCTGTGAGTTGTGAATAATATGTATTAAGGTTATATTAAACAACAAGAATGCATTCTTTGTAGAAAAAAATGATTAAATCGAGGCTTACTGACCAGTGATTTAAATCATGATTAAGTCATGCTTTAAATCTATTTGATTTAAATAAAATCCACCCTGATGATCACCTTTGAATGAACCTTCTCAACTAATATTTTACTACACTACTATGATCCAGTGCTTTTATATTCCATTTCAGACTGAGGGTTACAGTAGTGAAGAATTGTGGATTTTTTCCCTGGGGCTGGAAATTATTTTGATCTTGCTGAGGTTTGAACAATTACAGACTTAGTTTGTGGAGTATTAAGAAACATTAAGAATTAAAATAGAGAGATGAGTATTAACCTCTGCCCCCCCATTGGAAAAAAAACAAGAAAAAGAACGTGGAAGCTTATGATCTCTCAGTTTCTGAGTATGTCCATGTCCATGGAAGAGAAGTCTCTAGGAAATGAGCAGTTTGCAAATAATGGGCCATTAAGGAGACGGGGCGCCTAAGGTGGGGTACATCGAGTGCCTTACCATCCATCTTACGTGGGGCCCCTTCCCTCAACTCGCCTGCTATGATTTGGTGTTAATGAATGAAAGGAGGGGTTCAGTGGAGATCCTCTTCCTGGGGACCCCGGGGACAGTGGTACTCTCAGTCTTGATGCGATGTTCCGTGGGGCTCTGCCTCCCCTACACCCTGTCCACTCGCCAACCGACGGTGCAGCCTGTGTGGTTCTGCTGCACCCTGTAGAGCCCTCTCTCCAGGGGACTAACGTTGGCCTGGGTACTGGTGCACTAGCTCGGCTGTCACGACAGTGCTTTAGCTTTGAGTGCTGATGAGTGAGATACTCACTTGCTGGCGTCTTCCTTGCCGCCTCTGGGTGGCACGCCTCTAATGGTCTGGTGTAATGTAGGCACCTAGACAGAGAAAAAGCAGGGGGTGAACTGGCTTCTCTCTCTCCCTGCCTTGCCCAGAGACTTTGCTCCGCCAGCTCTAGATGCCGGCATTGAGCCAGGTGCAACTCTCCTGTTTCTGCACAGGAGCCTCACCACACCTGGTGTGCTCCACGCCAGCATGCTCCCTCTCTCTCCCCCTGCTGGGTTCCAGTGGGGCTTTTAAATCTTCCCGCGGCAGCTGCTGTGGCCGCCACGATTGGTTTAGCTCTTCCCCGCCCTGGGAACAGCTGATTAAACAGCCAGCATAACGCCGGCTTGTGTGGCCATGGCTGTGGCTCCTGCTCCGGCTGTGCTCCCAGAGGTAGGTTTCCCTGGTGTGGGGGTCTGTTTGTGGGGCTTGGGGCCTACAGGGTCTGTCCCATCCCCTTTAAAAGCCTGTGGAGGCTTCTTGCCACCACAACCATAATGCTGGGGATCATTAAATTATGAACAGAGAGAGCATCCAGAATAAGTTGAGTCCTTCAAGCTATGTTTTTTGTGTAGATTTGATCTGTCTCTAAAACACCCATTTGGAATGAAATTACTTTTAAGGTTCAGTGAAGAAATAGTTGCTGAATCTAGTTGAGTTTCTGTAGCAATGAAGAAACAAAGCAGTACTCTCCTTATTTCTTCCCACAACCAAAGGCACTTGTTAATGCAGCGAGGTACAGTAACACAAGGGGTTAGCAGCATACAAAGATATTCACACCTTGGGGATTAGGCTCACTTGGCTGCACCTTGTGCTTTGTAATGCCTTAGGGAGGGTTGTTTATCTTACCTTGCCCACCAAGCTTGCTGCCTCTCGTGCCTGATCGCTTAATTAAGAATCCAACCTTCAAATGGTTCTTCCCACTGTGTTATAGACCTTGAAATTAAAAATTCTGTACAGCAGTTCTGAGAGTTTTGGTTTAACAAATCTGTGTGCGTGTTGAGAAGAATTTTTAATGGGTAACTGAGTAATTCTATCCACCTGCTTGATTGAAACCCCAGTGGGGTGAGTGCAGAATTGATGCTGAGAAAGTAGAGTATCTGTCTAAATGATAATGTTTTCTGGTGCTTAGGGTAAGTGATGGAATAAATGCTTTTATTTCTGGGTTCTGTTTCACCTTTCATGGAGAGATTTCAATGCTTTTAACAGTTTATAAGTAATTAATCCTCAGAGTACGTTTCTGAGGGGCATGTGGGTATTCTCCCTGTTTTATAATGGGGGAGTCTGAAGCACAGATATATTAAATGATTTACTCAAATTCCTTTGCACTTTTAGCTTAAAACTAGGATTAGAACTCAGCAGGTCCTGGTAACGAGTCCTTAGCTTTCTTGGAATATGTAGTAATACGTAGTGTTATAGATCAGAATATGCAACTTGTAAGACAAGTGGCCTTCCCAGATTCATGCTGATGTAAGTTTTTTGTAGTACACCAAACCACAGCATGTTTTATCTATGTTCTTTTTCCTTGTCAAACAAGCTAGACTCACATGTGTGCCTTTCTTTTGCAGGTGATAGATGATTACAGCGTGATCGGTCGTTCGCTGTTTAAAAAGGAAAGCAACATCCAGATTTTTGTGGGGCTGAAAGTCAAGCTATCTACAGGAGAGGATGGCATAATAGAGGGTGGCTTTGGGCAGAGTGGTAAATTTAAAATCCGAATCCCAGGTAAGCGCTCATCTTTTTAGTCCATCCTGGTGTATGTAAAGCATAGAGGATCTCTCAGTAATGCAGAGGCAAACTTTACCTGTAGTTTTCACAAATACAACCAATTACTAGGGGTGCACTGATAGAGTTTTTGGGGGTTGATACTGATAGCCGGTATGTAAGGAGGCATATTGGCTGATACTGATCTGATATCTGATACAGCTACCATCAGGTGGTAAGTCCAGTATGGTGGGAGAGGCATGGGGGGGCAGATCAATGCCCCCCACGGTGAGGGAGGGGGCAGGGGCAAGTGCTGGCACTACCCAGCTGGGGAGGGGAGTGGGATGGGGGGAGGGGGCGGGCGTGAGCCAATGGATCTTCACGACGCAGGGTGGGCGGCAGCTGCGGTATGGAGCTGGAGCTGGTGCTGCGCCAGGGCTGTTCACAGTGGGGGCTGGGCTCGGAGTGGGCTCCAGCAGTGTAGGGAAGAGGCTGCAGCCATCCCAAATTTTGCCACTGCTCTGTTCTCAGCCCTGCACCGCCACCCAACACAGCCCCAGCTGAACACCCCACCTCCACCAAAGTGCTGGGAAAAGCCGGAGTTGCGCCGGGCAGCGGCACGAGGCTGGGTGTGGAGCTGCGGCAAACTTTTAGGGTGGCTGCAGCCTCCTCTCAGTGCCACTGGAGTGCTCTCTGAGGCCAGCCCTCAGCAAGAAAAGCCCCACTCATCACCGGCTGTGGGTTTGGCGCCACCCCATAGCTGCAGCCTGCCTCACACCACGCAGATCTTGGGGTTCACGCCCCCCTGCCCCTGTCCTCTTGGGGTGCAAGCAGCCCCCACCCCACCAGCTGTGCTTCCGTCCTGCGCCTCCCCACCCTGCCCTGGCTGGGCAGAGCCTACCCCTCCCTCACTGCAGGGGGCATTGACCTACCCCCCATGCTTGTTCCCTTCCGTCTCCAACTTACCAGTTCGAGGTAGCTCTCCATGCTGCTGGTTCTGCTCTGTGCTGTGCTGCACTGCAGCTGCATGCAGCATAGGCATTTATCAGCCAAATTATTGGCCCCATCGGGCCAATATCCGATATAGACTATTTTCTTTATATCGGTACCGATTTGATATTGGACCAATGTATCAGTGTACCGCTACCAGCTATTGCATACTGGATTTGTTAATTGATTAGAGTTTTTTCACCCCAGTGGATTGTACCTCCTGTAATTAAGTGTGGGTGGCTATTACATAATAGACCCCTATAGGGTACAATAACAAAATGCATGTTTTAAAATCCCTTCCACTACGTTGTCCATGGAAGGCCTGCTATATTTTCATTCATTTTTACTTATAGCTATGCATACCTTTCTTTCACTTCGCTCCACACGCTATTGTTTTGTTGTAGCACTACTGCTGTAATTCCTACTCCCATGACCTTCTACGTTGAAACAGGAACTGCAAGCATTTTGATGACTTGATTGTACGGATCTTGAATTTCCCTGGATCATCTGTAACTGCTGTTGTATCTTCTGGTTTTGTTGCATTATATGGCTCAATAGTTTTTGTCTTTGGTGAATCATAGCAAAAATTTCCCTGTCGTCTTAATTAGTAGGACTTTGGCTAGTGGGAAGTATGCTTTATTACTGTTTATTTAGCACTAGCATTGTTCTTTTTCTCCTTTCATTGGGTAATACTAGATTCTTAGCACAATGACAGACATTGTTATGGGTCAGGATGACAATAATAAATGTTGCATTTAAAATAAAAACAAGAATAGTACTTTACAGTTCTATTACCCTCAACTGAAAGATCAAATTGAAGGTGAAGACATTACCAGTAATACTTCTCCCAGTGAAGTAGGTATTCTTACCTCTTTAATACAAATGGGAAAACTGAAGCAGAAAATGAAGTAATTTTGCACAGAGACATTGCAAGTGATTGACGGTTGTTGTAGGAGAAAAAAAAGTAGTCTCCTGACTCCCAAGTCCCTTACCCAAAATTATTCAGCATCCTATTCTACATATGGTAAGGCAGGGGTGGGCAATTATTTTGGCTGGAGGGCAGCTTAATGAGTTTCAGTAAGCTGTCAACGGCTGCAAGAGTAGCCCCACCCCTTGACAGGTACCCTGCCCCCTAGTCACCATATTGGGCTTGGAAGTCCCGCCCCCTGACCTTTGCCACCAGAAATCCTTCCCCTTGCCCCCAGCAGTACTCCTTTTGGGAGGGGAGAGGGTTTGCCATCTTGGGACAGGAAAAAAAAACAATCATATACTGGAAGTCAAACATCTACTATAACATATTCTAATTTTATTTCAAAAAATATTTTTATCTTGATTTGTGTTTGTGTAGTGTGTACAGAGGTAAATTCATAATAGGTTAAAATAGTCTTACTTTTGTATATTGTGTATGGGTAGGGGTTGGGGGGCGAGGGTGTGTTTATGGTGGGGTGTGAGGAAGTGTGGCTGTGTGGGGGGGGTGTAGGGTATGTTGAGGGTGTGGGTGTGTGTACATGTGCTGGTGGCAGCGGTAGCCGGCAGTGGGCCCTTGGGGTGCTCATAGCTCACGCAGGCACAGCCACTCAGTGACGCACAGCTCCAGCCAGTTCCAGGACCTGCATGTGGTGGCAAGGAGGGGAGCCAGGCTGGTGCGCCAATGTTACACAGGGCTCATGTGCAACATGCCACTGTTGGGGAAGCCCCGCACAATGGAGCCGGCTGTCTTTCCTGCTCCATGCCACCAGAGCTCATGGGACTCTGCTGGAAGTGGCACTGCTCCCGGCAGAGCCTCATGAGCTGCATGTGGAGGCAGGGAGCGGGGACGGCAGCTGGCTCCATTGTGCAGGCCTTTCCCTGGGTGGGGCATGAGTTCCCAGAGCTGCATGCGAGTCCCATGCAATAGAGGTGGGCTGGTCTGGCTCTGCTCTTTGCTGCCCAGCTGCAGCTTCCCTATTTGGTGCCCAGAGCAAGCGCTGCAGCAGGGGCACAAGAGGAGCTGTTGGAGGTCGGGGAAGCCGAGCAGTTCCCCCGGCAGCTGCAGCAGTGGCAGCAGAGGCCCCTCCTGGAAGCTGCGTATGCTGGCTGGGGCCAGAGCCGGGGTCCTCCCATGCAGGACGGTGGGAGTGAAGAGTGCGGGCTGAGTGGGGTACAATTAATTGTTGGGCGCCTGTTGGCCAGATGAAGCTGCCTGGTGGGCCGAATCCAGCCCGTGGTCCATATTTTGCCTGCCCCTGTGCTAAGGCCTTGTATGGTGCAGCTGCTGTTAGTTTAGCTCATGAGGGGCTCTTTCCTTTGGCTCCCCTGATAAAGTGGGTGATTAGACAAAAATGGTTCCCAATTTGTTCTAGCTGTGGAAATATATTGGACGTGCACACCATTTATGTTTAGCCAGCAGATGGCCTATTATATGGATGAGGCTGGGACTACAGGTGGCAGGCACAGTAGACCTTAAAAAATTATTGACTGTGGGGGCCAATGCATTTATTTTTCTCTTTTCTGGATCTGAAACACTACTTGAAGCAAATAATCTCAGTGCTGACAAAAACAGTTCACTCTTCATAGGAGATGAAAGAACGTGTGAGGGGATTTTTGTGGTTAAGAGCTCTGAATGAAAAGCAGAGTAAAATATTCTTGAAAAATACTTCTCCTATGCCTGGCTCAGAGGATGGACTTGAGTAGTAGGCAGACAAGCTGCTTTTGGATTAGAAGAATGAGTCCAGTACTTGACCTCCTCGGTGAAAAGGTTGATGGTGTTGGGAACTTGGTGACTGTTTATCATGGAACAAATGTTGATTATTTATATTAAGGTTGTGCTTCCCAACACTCAGTGTAGACTGGAAATCACTGACAGGCTGTATAGGAACAGAAGACAGTCCCTGCCCCAAAGTATTTATGATCTAAAAAAGGCAATCGAACAACGGTGGTTACTTTTTGGCCAAATTCTTATGAAAGAACTGGGTCCCCTGTGGAACAGGATGGGAGCCTAGACGTCCCCTTTGCCCTCTTTTAGGAGATTAGCAACTGGACCTTTGATGGGCTAGCCTTTTCTCCCCGCTTCTGTAGCCAGGTTGGAAGGGTAGGTATTTTATGGTGTATTAACAAAGTTCTCAGTTCTGAACATAGGAAGAAATAATCTCTACTCCAAGGTGCTCACAGTCTGATCTTGCTGACATCATCTGATCAGACTACAGCATACAGAAACCTCTCGGTTACTTCCATTGTGGCTGTGTATGCAGATCACATTGGGATTTAGTATCTTTGTAAAAGAACACAGAATACAGTTGCTTGCTTTTTCTTCAGCTTTGTGACCCAAAAGAGCAAGGCAAACTTTTAAGATCTGAAAAAAAACAAACACATTTATTAGAAAATAAATGCAAGATTTGATGCTTTTACATAACTCTGGTCCTTTAAGAGTTACTAAGATTTCTGCATGGGGGGAGGGCTAATAGATATGATGCTGTTTAAGTCAACTACAGTTCACATTCCATTGTTAGGTCAGTATTTCTTTTTTAATGTGTCTGCATCCTGTTTGTGGGTTTTTTTAAAGGTTTTTTTTTTTTATTTTTATTAAATTTAACAGGTCAGATTCTTCTTTCCTCTCCTCCACAATTTCTGGCCTTGCTTCCCTTATATATATTCTTCCATATATTCTATCCCCTGTAGATGCCTTCCATGAAGATATAGTTTTAACCTTTTTGAACTACTTTAGTTTTCTGAGGATTCTTTAACAATGATATCTGGAGAGACAAATCAGCAAATTGAAAACTGCCTCAACATGATGTGTATAACAGTTAGATTATTTCAAGCCAGTTTGAACTTCAAGAACGTATATATTGGTTAGGTAGTTAATTGTATGACAGTTTGGGGGTAGTTTTTGTTGTTTTGCAAGGATACATTTTTAAACATCAAATACAACAAGCAGAAGCTTGTAGCTCTACTGTAGGGTTAAAGATTGAGAGAGATGGGGTAGTTAGGGTTTACTAGATTGACTCTATACCTAAGATGTGGGACATCTTGGAACTGGGAGAAGTAGGGTG